GCCAGCTAAGCTTCCTCGGTCCGTCTCGACTTCGTCCTCGTCCTTGATCTTGACTACAACTTCACCTTCCCCCCCCCACCCACTTGCCGCCGGTACATTATCTTCGAGGGCGCACGACCATCAGAAGTGAACATCTTAGGACACCGATTATCTTTCCCACGATCCCCCACACTCGAACTCGAACTCGAACTCGAACTCGACCTCAACCTCGATCCAGTCTAAACCACTCCAACCTTATAAAAGCCCGATCCCCACCCCGCGCGCAAAGTCGAGTCAACTAGCAACGAACCACTTCCCTCGATACTCGATATCTCCGGTGCTATAGTATGTCCTTGGTTTCCCAGCAATTCTCCACCGACACCATCTCATCACTTCCAGCCGCACAAGGCGCCGAAGCCGAACACCTCTCCGTCGAAGCAACACTGAGCAAGCTACTCAGTGTTTCCGCCAGCTCGCCACCTCATTCTATGGATAGAGGTTCCGCCCAGTATCCGCAGTCAGGTTTGCATTCACCGTTCAGCGCGTTCACCGACACGTCATCTGAAGATTCTCCCGCAGATCACGCGTCTGCTGCGCAATACCCTCCCCAACCGGACTTACGGTCCCACAACCCGAACCCGAACCAGAACCAAAACCCGAACCCGAACCAGAATCACACCCAGAACCACAACCAGAACCACAACCACAACCACTACCCTCACTCGGCCTCCGCGACCCCGACCTCCGAGTACGGCGTCTATCCTGCCTCGGCGCGCTCGGGTTCCTTCCCCGGCCACATACAACGCCCGTATCATTCGTCCAGCAGCCACAGCAGCGGCAGCAGTGGAGGAAGTATGGCTCAATCAACTAGTCCGTCCTTGCCTCTACAAGATGGTCGCCCAAATCATCAAAGCTCCCAAATCAAATCTGACCAGGATGTTCCTATAGATCCATCCATTGCTGCCTCCAGCCCGACCTACCCTCCACACAGCGGCCAGTACTCTCCCTACCACCCGCAGCAAGACATGCAACACGGTTACGCCAACCCCCCTCCCACCGGCGCCATGTATGCTCAACCACGACCGGACTGGGCTGGCTACGCCGGCGGCCAACATCCAATGCACGGAGGGTACCCAGTCAGCGGGGCTCAAACACCAACCTCCGCCGCACCATCGGGTGCGCGTCCTGGACAGGTATGTTCTCCTGATATGTCTTCCCTAATCGCAAGTGCGGGCGCGCTGTCTCCTGCGCGTCGCCAGACGGGCGCGTCACCCAGTTCCCTTCCCCCAACCCCAAGTCTTCCATGGCCTTCCGATCTATCGTAGAACATGCTAACCACGTCCTTGGCAGGTCTACTCCTTCGTCCCCATCCCCGGCGCCCAACAACACAAGCGTCCTCGTAGAAGATATGAGGAGATTGAGCGTATGTACAAGTGCGGCTGGAACGGCTGTGAGAAGGCTTACGGTACCTTGAACCACCTGAACGCCCACGTCACTATGCAATCGCACGGCCAAAAGCGCACCCCCGAAGGTAAGCTAACCCCCCTCCTGCTCGTTGGGAACTGTCGTGGTAGACTTCGCGACGTGTTGTGTGCAGGTGTGCCACGCACGACGTTTTTAAATTAATCGGACGGGTTTGTCCATCGCTAGCTACCCCAGTCGTTCCTTTCCATGATACGCTAGATGATTTTCATTGGCGTGGAGCTAGGTCGAGACAGGACTGGGGATAACCTCACTCCGTCCGAAGCTAGCATGGGTCTCCCAAAGCTTCGGGATTTCTTGTGTGACACACGCTAACGCACCCCGCCTTATAGAATTCAAGGAGATCCGCAAAGAGTGGAAGGCCCGCAAGAAGGAAGAGGAGACTCAACGCAAGCAAGAGGATGATCGTGCTCGTGCTGCTGTCGCACCGTCTGACCAAGGTTCCGACGCCGCTCCTGCGGGCTATCAACAACCTGGCCGATCTGTCCAACTTCCTCCCATCGGCTACCAACCTGGTGCCCCAGTGCCTGGCCCTTACCCTCCCGCCGGCGGTGTTCAACAACTGCAGGAGTACGGTACCAACCACCTCCAGTATTCTGGCTACCCAGCATCGCCCTATGGTGCCCCAAACCAGATGTATAACAACCAACGTCATTACACCCTCAGCCATCTCCCTTTCTAGAATCCCATACTAACTTTCAATCAGATAATGGTGGCCCAGCTCCCAAGTATGAACAACACTGAGATCTCGGTGCTCTTCCCGCCCCGTCCATTGGCGTCCTCGCGGAAATGTTCATCACTTTCGATCAGACGTATGCCTTTGCGGAGGATACAATCGTCACTTCATATTGCCTTTCAAGAACGCTTTGTATCATATGGGGTCGTTTCATGCATTTGATTCGGTGTCTCGTCATGTGTCCTCTCACTTCTTAGACGCCCTTCGGATCCTATTTCGCAATGAGATAAGGATTTGCTTGGTCTGATAAACTTCTCTCTTGCCTTCTCGTCCAAGGCTTGGTCAATCTGGGAGGGGGATGGTCGGTTGCATTTTGTGGTTTTTTCTTTTGGCGGCGTCATCCAGGGCTTTCGAGATCAGGTGTCGGAAGATTGGCAGGCTGCTGGGTTTCGCCGGCAGCAAGGTCCAATCGCCTTTCAAATTTTCTCTATCCCTGAGTTTTTTTTTCCTTCGAAAAATCTCTGGCTGCATACACGGGAGTCACATTCCTCATGGAGTGAATGGGTTGTGGGTTTTGCTTGTTTTGCGGGCTTCTCCATGCATGCGAGGAACCATACACCAGAAGTCATTGCAGAAGGGGTTGCAGAAGACTTTGGAACAATAATTGAATCATTAAAATGACTGCGGTCCCGGGTGATGATGATAGAAGAAGGTGATTTGTGAGATGTGTTGACGCAGCTTGCGAGATCTGAATGATTGAGTGCCAGGTGGCGGACAGGCTCACTCTTATACCCAGAAGGAATGAGGAGTAAGCAAGTCGAGGTGGTCTCGGTGGTCTCAAATCTAGTTGTTTTCTGGCGGTCGCGCCTTGATAGTAATTCACTACTGGTAGATAGTTCACACTCTGAGCCAGCGCGTGCAGAATGCTTCCCTTTCTCCAGGGCGAGCTCAACCAACGGAGGATTCTTAGCGGAAGGTTCTGCTTGCACCGTCCGCCGCTCGAGTCATCGCTGCTCGAGTCATCGCTCTGCTGTCCTCTGGGGCTACGTCGCCGAGCCGGGTCTGCGCGTAAGAGGAAGAGCAAGAGGAAGAGCAAGAGGAAGAGCGAGAGGAAGAGCAAGAGGCAGAGCAAGAGCTGAAGTAAAAGCAAAAGCAAAAGCAAAAGCCAAAGCAAAAGCAAGCAGTACAACAACAACAACAGCAACAGCAACAACAGCAATATTAAGTCATAGGCAGTCCAAGCAACGGCAAAAGCCAAAGCCAAAGCAAGAGCAAGAGCAGGAGCAAGAGCAAGAGCGGCACAACAACACCAATGATGATCAGATGAGAAGGGGGCGCCTGACTAAGGACGATGGTGGGATTATTTTTTTCTTCGGCTGCTGGCTGCTGGCTGCTAGGCAGGGTGGTGGTGGTGGTGGCGGTGGCTGTTCCCTCTACGGAGCTAGATAGCTAGCTTAGCCTGGTTGGCTAGCTGGCTGGCTGGCTGGCTAACATGCGTAAGTGATCAGGCTGGCCTGGGAAAAGGAGGAAGGGGGGGGGGGGTTTCTTTTCTTTTTCTTACTTTTCGGTGTGGATACAGGCCCGATGATATATCTGTGTTTGCGTTTGCGTTTGCGTGTCGGTCGGTCTGCCGAGGGGTTGGTGTTGTGCCGCAGCGGCAGGGCTTCCTGTGGTGTTGTTTGGTTTTTTTTTGGGGGTTGGTGCTTGCGCTTCGTGCTCGGTTCGGCGTGTTCTTGGCTCTTGTTGATATACCGGTACATATGTTTGGTGCGATGTTGGGGCCGAGGTGGATTGGAGTTCGGTGGCGGACCAGGAAGGTGGGGGGATGTGAATGTGTTCTATCCCACACATGAGTATACCCTTGTTTGTTGTCGTTCATGCGAAGACAGGAGCGGGATGCCGAGTTGCCCCCTTTTTTTTTTCCGCTTACAGTCCTTGTTTGGTTGGCGGATGCGGAAGTGACGAGGTGTGGGACGTAACTAGATGCGGCCTAGCTCTGAGGGTAAACCAACCTCCCTTTCCCCCCTCCTCCGATCGAGGATGTCATCCGCACACAAACAGCTTCCAACACTCGCTTCTGCCGAGACGGCCCGCGGCCCTTTCTTTTCGGCGGGAGATGATGGAGCGGACGGAGCTTGATTCATCGCTTGCATCGGTATCGTGGATGCCTGATGCTACTACCTATCATAAGGATCTCCGACGACTTGGACGCGGTGCTTCCCTCCGGGACATCAAAGCCAACGCCAGATCTATCCTATCGTCGTCTATCAAAGCAACAACCTGCCAGGACATCTTCTCTCTCGCGAGAAAAGAAAAAAAAACTTTCTCCTTGCGAAGACGGTGATGCTGAAATCCGTCCCGTCTCTCTTCGCGGCTCGCCGGCCCCTGGCGAAGGGAAGACGACAGTCTCCTAGAGCCACACGGCAGAGACCGGAATCCTTCTAGCGGGCGGCGCAAGTCGGCTGACAAAAGTAAGGGGGAGGTAGAACTCTTTCCCACGATACGCTAGACTGCAATGGCTAATTCTGTGAGGGAGAAAGCATCTGCAGGCTCTCAACTACTTTTCTTCCTCCCAGCTCGGTAGGCACCACCAAGTCTTTGCTGAACGGGTGCTATGCGTGCGATGCGACCATCCTGTAGCCTGGTTTTGCTTCTCGCTATGGATCCATGCGTGCCATGGTGCCATCAGGGACAGCCGTGCAGAGCAGACAGCGCCTTACGTTTTTTAGACTTGAGGACATTCGGCTGTAGAGGTCTGCCAGAAGCGGGTAATGTTCCAACGGTCGAATAAGCGAGCGAATCATAATATGGAGGTGCGGCGGCGATGTGGCTCGCTTGTAAGACCACGAACATCCACGAGCCCTCACTGGTACGGTATGGATCTGATAGCAGCGGGGATATCTCTCGAGTCACAGGGAGTACATTGACTGATTTAACCAGTTTCGTGCCGTCGCTGCAATGCATCCTCACGCAGATACAGAGTGGGCTTGGAGGTTTGTCCCGATCGCTTGCTAAGAACTTGAAGCGTGGCTTGACTACTGGAGGAATGGGTTTACACTAGTTGGCGTTGCACTATCTACCAGAGTATGTCGATGTCTCTCCAGAATCCAACACCACAGAACGAAAAACGGGCTTTCTCAAAGATTCAAATCCTCAAGCAGCGCGGTGATTCCCGGAGAATACGTGGTCTTGGCTTGAAATTGAAGGCTTCGGAACAGGTCCGGACAACGGACAAAAGTAGAAATGGAAGCTGCATCCACACATCGTGGCGCTGAGAGAAGGCTAGCCCCTCGGTACATTGTATATACCTTGACGGGCACATCCCTTCACTACCCGAACCACCTGTGGGATGTTGCCTCAAGCATTCTTCAACCTCAGAGTCTTGCTTCTCTGCCTCAGCATGTACGAATACAGGTAGTAGGAGCCTATACACGTTCAGTTTCCACGGCCGGACGTGCGAACCCCGCCAGGAGAGCCCTCTTCTCACCTGGGAGGTACAGCCCCAGCAGCTCTCCGTACATGATCCCCGTCACCCACTTGGAGGCTGGCTCCCCGATGGCGCGCCAGACCAGCCACATCTCGGCGGCGATGCCGACGGGGTAGATGCCGACGAAGGCGCTGTATCTCAGCCAGACGAGGAAGCCGGGACGCCGGCCCGAGAGCATCAGCGCGAAGTACCCGTAGCGGATCACCTCGCCCGACGACCACATGACGAGCATGACGGTATAGGCCGGCGAGAGGGCGACGGCGGGGAACGGCGCGACGATGGTCCACAGCACGAGATTCTTGGCGACGGTCTGGATGAAGGTTGGGATCAGAGGGGCGCGTACTAGTCCTTCGTGGGTGGAGAGAGGCGTTAGTGAGGGCGGTTTCCGGGCCTTTGACATCGAGACGAGAATCATTGCGAGGATCAGTAAAGGGGGAGGAGGGGGGTTTTTCAACGGACCGGTGGCAGAATGCACAACTTCAAGAAGGGCTGCCGTCTGTATCCATAGTGCAAAGTTGCCAATTGTGTCGTAGGTCTTGTCGTGAGAGGACAGTGGCCCAAGCGCGACGATGCGGAGGAAGAGCGTGAGCCATAGAGCGGCGAAGATGCCGTTGTAAAGGATCAGGTACAGCGTTTTGACAGCGAGAGCCATGGCGTCTGTGAGGTTCTGGATTGGACTGGCCAAAAATGCCAACAGTTAGTAGGTAGCCGCTTGACGTCGAGGCGCAAATCCAGGGGTACGAAAATGTTTTCTCCTTAAGCGAGGACCTCGGTTTGCAGGGTTGAAGATGCAGACGAGGGACCTTTGATGAACATCAGGGGCAAACGAGTTGAATCCAGTTAGACGACAGAGCGGTGGGGGACAAGCCAGTTGTATTATTCTGTGTGAACCCCCTCGTTCCTCCCCCCTGAATCGGAGACGTCCGCGCGAATCAATCACGTTCATAAGGGAGAGAGCTGAAGGTGCATAGGAGGCAGCTCGTACAGGTCAAGTCCCGACTTTGAAGGATAGCAGCAAACAACAGCCCGAAGGCAACCCCAGACCAGACTGGTCTACATACATGTCGCGCGAGGAAATCAATTGCGGAGTGTTGTTCAAAGTCAGGTGATATGCGGTGATATCAATCTATATCATCTCACTACAGTAGCACACAACGCCTCTCCACATGAAATATAACTCGTGACTTCAGAGGAATGAGGCAATCTCTTCTATCTATCATACCTGGGGACAGCGATGCTCACTGCGCTGATCTCTTCAAAGCCTCGTCCGTACTGTCTCGCGGGATAGAATTACCCCATTGAATCAGGCGCAGGAAAAGGATGTGGGTGCACATGTACAGGTCAAATCGGAAGATCGCACGACTACACACACGCCTATAGACTCCTACCTCTCCCCGTGGGAATCCGATCGAAATCTCTAATATCTGTCCCTTGGACGAACCTCGTCCCCTCCCGCGTCTCCGCACGCAGCGGCTTGAACAGCACATGCCGCGGGGTCCACTGATCACGAAATCAGGACATCACTCTGCACCGATAGTGGAAAGTGGAGAGATATACTTCCTGAATTACACCAGTCTCTCGTGGAAACGAAGAAAGCTAAGCGAGGCGTGCCGTGACGTGACGTTTGGGTCTCTTCAAATACAAATGGAGCAACTGCCACTCCCAAGACTGATCCCAACAGCAGTCATACTGTAAAACTCATGATTGTCGCAATCACAGCTATTTCTTGTTTGAACGGGCATCCTGCCGAGTGCGGTTCGCCGAATGCTGGCCAAGCCAAGCGACCCCTCCGCAAAGCGTTCTGGACAGAAATCTACTACTCCGTACTGGCACCTCAGGAGACGCGTGAATCGAGCGGCAGTTCAAGTCACAATCGAGCAGCTGAACCAATCCCAACCAACACTGCTTCCAACAGTCGCTGCTCCGTGTTGGGCGGGCAGCTACGTAGCTGCCTCGGTCCTAGTTAATACGTCCGTCCCTCTCCGCAGCCACCCACTCCGCGACGCAGAAGAAGGAAGCCCTCTGATTTTCCCACCCGCCAGAGAGTCCAACCCCGGCGAGCTTTCCTCTCCCGACCTCCACGACGCACCTATCAGGCGTGCGGTGCCTGGGCTGGGGAAGGGGAACCGACCACCAGGCCGGCGGTCTGAGACGGCGAAGAGCCCCCGACTCCCACCCAGGCTGAGGGAAAATACCTACCTATCGGGTCCCGGTAACGGCCGTTTGCAAAGAAGGCCGATCCTACCCTCGGATGGCCGAGGGCGAGGAGAGAAGAAATCACATCGGATGATCGACGTGGCGAGACCGAGACCGAGACCGAGACCGAGCCCGGAGGAGTTGTCGCGGCGTGCTGAGTGACAGTTGGGGCGAGACGTGGCAGGTCCGCAAGCTGTTGTTACGAGCACCGCCGAAATAGTCTGGGCCGGGAAGAGCGGGCAGGTGACCGGGCGACGGTCAGTGTTGTATACATGCTACTCCCCCCCCCCCTCCCTCTCTCTCCTTCCCTCTC